TTTCAACAGATTGTCTGGAGCATATTATAAATATCATTCACCGATGCAAGCAGAACTCAACAGCAGACAAGAAGAACTTCACTGATATGCTTCGTTGGTATATCACCTTCAGGCATCACATTCTGGCTATAATACCGAGGATTTTTGAGACGGTAAAGAAGCCTTCTGCTGTCAAAAGAGAATGAAGATTTTGTGCCAAAGACACAAAGGGGGAGATAATTGAAGATAATAGAGTTGCGTCTTGGGCCCTTTTGTTTTACAACCGGATTGGGCTTGTCAATCCGTGTTCAGCTAGATTAGCCTTCCTTTTCTTAGAAAAACTGTTAGGGTGTCATTATAAATATATGCATGCATGTATGTGTATAGTAACGGTCGTCACTCTCATTGAATATTGTAAACCCTAAAATCCTCTACAGTTGACGTTCTTTATCGAGCTCTTCTGAGGATTGTTTATTGAATCATTCGATACCTTTTGATTCATTAGCTCGTTCTTAATTGTTTACTTAGTCATTCATCTACCTGTTTCATAGATCTAATCGATCTTTAAGTTTGTTTTAAACTAATCAGTATCGTTAGGATTTCGGGTACTGCTAAAAACAAAGGAAGATTGTTTTACGCTTGCCCATATTTGGTATCATGTTCTTAACATCATTCATATTTACACCCTCATGTTTACATGACAACAATTCTTACTGTCAATGTTTAAATTTACAGGGACCAAAATGCGGGTTTATCAGTTGGGTTGACGAAGAGAATGACCAATCATCTATGGTAATAGCTAAAGTAGCTAACTCTAATAAGATCTTTCAATCATAAAATAAGAAGTTAAAGATAGCGTTGATTTGTAGTTGGGTGTTGTTCTTGGTCGTTCTTGTTTACAAGTTATAACTTTTTAAAATAGTTTTGATAGTTTTGAAGTTGTTAGGTAAATAAATTGTTGTATTTGTTGTTATGTTTAGAACAGTGTACTTGTAACATTAAAACAAATGTTGGTGTCATTGTTATGTTGTAAGTATGGAGAAGTTATTAGTAGGTTATTAATTTGTTGTAATTGTTGTTATGTTTAAACTTTTGTATTTGTAACGTTAAAACTAAAAATAGACTAATGGTGTACTCGTTTGTACTTGTAATGTTAAAACTAAAAATAAACTAATTATCAAATCCAATATTAATTTACATATACAAAAATATAATCCAACTACATAGGACCAAGACTCGACCCCCAATAAATTTTTGTCATCCGTTGGCGAAACTCTAAAACTGCGTTCCTTGGGTCAATAAGTTCACATATTGGTTGACCTGAAACTAATTGTTCCATACACATACAAACAAAAACACCACAATCTCCCAAATGACTACATTGTTGGGGAACATTTTCTTCATAAATGAATTTCATATTCAATGGAATCCTTGGGATGTTCCTCCGGGCCCAATAGTTAATCTTGTCTAAATAATTTGCCACCCAAGATTCAAATTTGGTAAAGGTTCCATCAGATTTGAATTTTTCATAAGTCACTCTACCGAGACTGTCATAAATATGGACTTCCATTGACGCCAATCATAGTTCCCCAAATAACCAGTGATTAGGGGATGAATGAATCGGCAACAAGACCTGTATAAGGATCAGAAAATAAAAATATGTTTTTTATATCACAATACAAAAACATAACGACGATAACGATAATATTTTCAATATAAACAATTAAGTTTTTCGTATCGACATCCCACCAAGCCACCATAAAGTTGGGGTACGTAGCAATACCAGCCATAAACGCCCTCCAATTCCGTCCTTCTTCCAAAGCATGGCAAACAAAAATTTTTGGAGGCATTAATGTATGTCGGTCGCCATCGAACCGTCTCTCCATCAATAGTTTATACCAAATGGTTATATGCTGCACAAAATTATGATACTTTTGTTATTGACTAAAAAAACAATTTACTTTTAAAATAATAAATAAACAATTATTATACTGATGACTCCAAGCATCCGTCGTATGTATGCCCAAACAAGGCGCTCCAAAAATCTCTATCTAAGATGTAATTAACCAAACGATGTTGGACATCATATGAATGAAATAAATAATTTTGGATGACAACCTCACCGCCTGCTACGTAAGGTTCCAGGCGCAACATGGAGAAGTCGTGAACAACAACAAAAGCTAGAGGAGGAACGGGGCTTGTTGATTTCATAGCAACCTTCTTTTTTGCTCTTCTTTTTTGCTTAGGTGTCATGTGCAACTAAAAACAATATTCAAATGTTTAAATCTCTATCTTTCAGATAATTCACATAAACATAAAATTCTATTATTACGATATAAGTTTATAAAGTAAACGAATACCTCGGTGTAAGGATGGCACAAATACTGTGATGGTTTTCGAGTCCTCGGTTTATCGGGTATAACTTCTTTGTCATCAACACCATAATCATCATAATAATCTACATTTCCCGTAATTATTACTTCATCTTCGTCCGACACCTAATTTAATAAGCAATAATCTCTAATTAAAAAAAATGTTTCAATCTACTAAAAACAAAATTAAAATAAATGTAAGTATAAGAACCTCTTTAGCTTCATTATAATCATTTACATCAAACACATCATCATCAAATTTGTTCCCCACATTGTCATTCCTCTCATCCAACTCCTACATTAAAAATAAAACATTATACTTATTAACGAAAGACACATTAAAAATTAATTATTAAAATCGTAAAGGTAACATCTATAACAACCTTGTCGTCTTCAATATCACCAAAAATCAGTTGTATATTTTTATTCATCACTTCATCTTGTACAACTTACATTTTCAAATATAAAATATGAACACAAATATTCATATATGTTAATAAAATAAAATAAATAATGTAGCGTGTTACTAACCCGTTCATCAAATTTTGTTTGGAATACTGCAGGCTCCTCAAAACTGATGTTATTCCATAAATCTTCATTATTCACTTCTTCAACAAAAACCTCTCTAGGCTCTCGGTTCTTAAACACATGCTACTCCATTGCATGTAGCCGTTTCAACACCTCCTCTAGGTTATGTTTCCCACTGCCCCTACCTCTACCTTGACAGCGACCAGTAGACGACATAATAGACGAAGATTCGTCTTGTCTCCAAATATGGTCCTATACTAGGGATGGAACTGATTTCCAATTACCATATATATACTCTTGAAATGACATATAATAACAAGATGTCATCTCACCATCACTCGGTAACATGTTTTGTCTTGGTGGTTGTCCCTCCTAAAAAAATGAACATATTAAAAATGCATATAAAAGTATAATAAAGAAGTTTATTAATAATAAAAGAAAATTTTATAAACCTGTATCTTTGAAAAAATCTTGTTCACATCAACCCATTTCAATTTTTGTGTCCCACTCCTTCGTTTCATCCGAGACATGTCTCTATTCTTTCTCAATACAAATCCACATGCACGAACAGCCGGAAGCATCTCATATATCCATATCTATAATTTTTACAATTATAGTAATAAAACTTAAAATTAAAATAACAAACATAAGAATAAAACCATTTAAATATAAGTAAATTTTTATACCCTAATTGGAGCTGTAAATCCTGAGACGGAGTATTTTAAGGTTTGACGACGCTCAGGAAGTGATAAATATTCATTTATCTTATTCCATGTATCCTCAAGGTCATTATACGTAAAATCCCAAAGATAGCCACCCCAAGAGAAACTAACAAAACAAAAAAAAGATAGTTATAATATAAATTAACATTAATAATATATAACTTTCAAAGTAAACAAAAAAAAAATACTTGTTTCAGACATCCAAATTCTCAGAAAAAAAAAAAAAAAAAAACAATCTGGTGGCACCCGATCATTTATTTCTTTTCCCAAAAAACCTTCACACAAAATGTATATCAAACATACTCTAATTGCATCGGCGTCGTCAACCTCTAAGAATGGTTGATTTAAAATAAAACTTTTCAGGTCGCCGATTTTCACCGAACTATTTGTATAGTTCAGAAATAGCCGCTCACACAATAAACATCTTTTTTTACTACTAACTATTTTTTTTGACACTTTTTCCCAATGTTTTTTGGATACTCCTCAAAATTGAAGTTGGTTAACAAACAAAACTTTTCCGGCTCATATATCATTTTCGTATCACCTACTATAAAATATAACCGTTTTATTCCATTTAGAGATAAAACAGCGTCCGGCCGTATCTAATGAAGGAACATTTTGTGGAACAACAATCCGTCCCCTTCTAAACGAGGTACGTCCAACAAGTAACCAAATACGGTATCTCTAAATATATCCCGCCTAACACCATCTAACACTTCAAATACTTCCCATATATTACACCCCGATCCTTTTAAGTTTAAAATTGCTTTCACATTGAAATTATTATAATAATGTTGCACAAAACACAATAACATATTAGACAACTAAACAAACATTTCATTTTAAAATATATGATTATTAAGTGTAATAATAACATAAACAATAATAACAATGCACATACAAATATTTAATAAATAATTTATATATTTATGCTAAAAAAACAATAACATACACATACTATAACAAATTATCAACTTAAACGACAAATATATAAACAATTTTCCAAGTTATACCACAGATATACAAACAATTTTTATCTATCTAATTATATAAAAGACAAAACTTCAAAAATGGTCCCTGTGGTTTTCAAAAATATCAAGTTTAGTTCCTAAGTTCAAAAAACCTCACAGATGGTCCTTATGGTTTCAAAACTTTTAACAAACAGTCCCTTAGCCACATAAAAACACTAATATGCCCTTTGTATTTCTTTTTAGAATTAATTTTACCTAATCCTATTTTAAAAAATAGAAAAAAATAAATAATTCATTGGGCCTACCTCCCCTCTCTCTCTCTCTCTCTCTCCATTAACTTGAAACACAAAAATGAAAATACATTTGTGCGTTCCGATCAGCATCCAACAAAAATAGGGAAACCATTCTTATGCCCTAATAATTGTGAAATGAAATCGTTGTATTGTATGGAATTTCATGGTCCTGGAGTATCAGTAATGGTGATCTCATGGTCCTCAATATCAATACGATGTCGGTGTCGGTGAAGATCTTCCCGTTAACCATGGCTCCGGTTCGGATTTTCAAGGGAATGCTAATGCTACAGCGGGGTCGGAGCCTCTTTTTGGTTCACTAGGATTGGGCGACGACGGTGGTGCAATTCCATCGGTACCACCACCACCACCGACTGAAAATACAGCGGCTAAAAAAGGGTGTGGTCGTCCGTCGAAAGTGAAGAATGGCGTTGGTAGACTGAGGAGAATTGGAATAGGGTCGGTGACTGTTCCGTTGTCTGGAAATGTGTTGGCGCCAAGAAGAAGGCCGAAGAGGGCTGGAAGACTAAATGTGGGTGGTGTTAATGGTGGTGTTGTTGAGAGTAGAAGATTTGGTCGGCCTTATGTCAATAGATTTGGGAGATTGACCGGAAAACCTCTCAACAAGCCTAGCAATGTAATTGATTTTCCATTTTCATCTCCATTATTCCATTTTCTTGTTCCTTTTTGTTCTGTTTTTGATTGATTACTTGGTTGTGATGTGGCTTTTGGTGTGCAGGTTGGACGTGGAACGACAGTGATAGTGACGGATCCACGACAGCTTGTGGTTTATCAAGAATTGAAGACTAAATACAGCTTTAAGACTAAAGCCTTCCAATCATGATTTTAGCTTCTCCGAACAGACGAAGACATAGACCTGTTCCCACCGGAGATGACACAAGTTAAAGCCTCAGAGGGTTGCCGGAGATCGACGACTCTGTCTCTCCTCGAGATTTGAATGACCACCATTGGAACTTCTCATCGCTTCCGATTTGTCGTTCCTCCAAATCCCCAAATAGATGAAGAAAACGATGTGCGTTTCACACACACACACACACACACACACATATATATATATATATATATATATATATATATATATATATAGAGAGAGAGAGAGAGAGAGAGAGAGAGAGAAGGTGGGCCCAATGAATTATTTATTTTTTCTTTCTTTTTTTTTAAATAGGATTAAGTAAAATTATTTCTAAAAATAAATAAAAAGGGTATATTAGTCTTTTTATGTGGTTAAGGGACTGTTTGTTAAAAGTTTTGAAACTACAGGGATCATCTGTGAGATTTTTTGAACTTAAGGATTAAACTTGATATTTTTGAAAACCACATGGATTATTTTTGAAGTTTTGTCTATAGAAAATAACATTTTCTAACCATATAATCAAACAATTTTTCAAATAAAACGACAACTAAATTAACAATTTTCCAAGTTATACGATAAATATACAAAGAATTTTTAACTTTCTTATTATATAAAATAACATTTTCTAAACATACTATAAAATCTTTTCTACTAATACGACTATTGTACACATATTATAAAATTTTCTAACAATACTATAAAAAATTTTATACTTCAAAAACAAATATATACAAATTTTCAACTTATACGACAAATATATATGCAAACGACTATTGTACACATACTGTAATGTAACCATTTTTCAATTTATAAAAACGATTACACAATAAGAATATATAATTTTTCAAGTTATACAACAACTATACAAACGGCAAATAACATATTATAACCATGATATATCAATTTATCAACTTAAATCACAAACCAAAACATTTTGTAAACTTATTCTAACAATTTATTTAACTAATAACTTTAAAAAAATGAGCATATTCTAACAATTTTACTAAATGTACAACCACCCGATGCACACTCTACGCAGTCTCTACTTGTATATTCATACAACCACTAACAAAATAACATTTAAACAAGTTTACTGATAACAAATAGTAACACTATCAAATACAACAAAATTACCCTATCACAAACAATATAATTAAATTTATTACACTAACTAATACAATAAATAATAAGATAATAAAGACATATACTAAATAAATGTTAGTTAAAACATTAAAAGAGTTAAAATCTAACAATATATGCGGGACTGTTGAAATAATCCTCCATTTTCTTCAAAAAATCATCAAAAGGAATTTCCGAAAGAGATAGAGTTTTTCTGTATTAAAGAGTGAAAAATGAAGAAAAAAAATCTTTAATAGAAAAATTTGCGTAAAATCGCAGATGCACAGTGAAAATCACAGATGGACTTTTTCATCTGCGAATGTAAAAGTGTCAAAAGCACAACCGTGCTTTACACACTTGTACATTTGCAGATGGAAAACCAAAATCGCAGATGGGGCTATTTCATCTGCGAAATCAATGACTAATTTTACAATTTCGATTTTTTTAGCTAAATTTGTAAGGTCAATAGTGTGTTTGGTTAATTTTATCATTTTTTCTTTTTATGATAATTAACTAATCTAGACACTTAATAAAATTTAGAGTTTGAATATAAAAGTCACTTAATCGGTTTCATTAGTATTCTCAAATTAATTTTTCTTTATAATAAATACCTAAAAAGCCATACACTTTAGCATTCTCATATGTTTAGTCGGTTTCATTAATAGTCCCAAATTTTTTTTTTTAATAATAAATTGCATTCTCATTGATTCTTTCCCCTTTGTTACAATCAAAGAATATTTAATTTGGAACTATTTGGTAAATTAATTCAAAATATTGATATTTTTTTGCAAAACATTTATTATTATTATTATTATTATTATTATTATTATTATTATTAAAAACGCAAATAATATTACTTTTTAAATTCATTATTATTAATATATAAATATATTTAAAATACACATTTCCACACATAAAAATGTATTTATACATAAAGTATACATATAAATATAATAAACACATATGAAAAAGCGTATTTAGATATTTTTATACCATTAATTTTTTTTTCTTTTCATTTAAACTAGTTTATATGTACTATTAAATACCAATTAAAAACATTTAAATGATAAAGAACTTTAAAAATGTCTAGAAAGTATATATATATATATATATATATATATATATATATATATATATATATATATATATATATATATATATATATATATATATATTGGAAAAGTAAATATACCCTTAAGAGTATATAAGCTTAGGTACCCAAACTCACCATGTTATGTTGTTTTGTATCATATGTGTACATTGTAATTATCTAATGTTCTTATAATTCAACTTCTAACTTGATTACTTTTAAGATTTTTATAAATTTCACATCTATCTTCTTGTAACATAATTTTCATTTTCAACTCTAATATATATAGCCTAATAGGTGTTCGGCAAAAAAAAATGATATAAGAGGAAAACAATAGTAAAATTTCGAAAATCTTCAAAGTAAATCAAGTTAAGCTTGACGTTTAATAACATTATAATGAATATATCAAGCAAAAGAATTAATTATAGTGAGTTTGGGTATCTACGTTTATATACCCTTAAGGGTATATTCACTTTTCCATATATATATATATATATATATATATATATATATATATATATATATATATATATATATATATATATATATATATATATATATGTATATTTTGATATGCATTTATATATTTTTATACACAAAAAATATATTTTATTTTTTCATTTAAACGCATAGATACATGCATTTATATTTTTTTATATATTAAAAAACATTTTTAAAGTTTTTTTTATTTAAATGTTTTTATGCATGTATTTAATAATTCATATAAATACATTTAACCGAAAACTAAATTTTAAAAACGTTTTAAATGAAAACGTATTTATGAAAAACTTATTTAAAAAAACGTTTTAGTTTTACACATGCATTTAATAATACATATGAAACAAATATTTATGGAATACATATTTAATTATATTTATACATTATTAATATTATTTTAAAGTTCTTTGATACCGGCTGTAACCGGGAGAAATGATCCATATGTAATCTTTTACTGGATGTTTAGGCTATTATATAAAAATAAATTGATTTGGGAGTATATTGTAAACTGCCCAAAATATTAAAACTTTTTCTATAAATATCCTATGTTTTTTAATGTTTTTTTAGTAACAATCTTAGTAATTTTATTTCCAAAGAAAGGCAACTTAATTAACTTTCTCTTAAAACTAACAAAGTTTAACCATTCTAAGATAAAATTTAAAGCAAATTTCCTACCAAATAAACACGTAATAACTAATCATAACAACTAACATGTAAGACGATTGTGTAACTAAAACTTTTATAATACAATTTTTTTTCCAAAAAAAACTTAACATAAATTATTATTTATATAATAATTTATACATGCAAAGCATGAGTGTCTTTCTGTAGCAAACTATATTTTTCAATGATATTTATATATTAATAAACAATATTTTCGATAATTTTTTTTAGCATTTGACACATGACATTATTGTATATAACAAATTGTTTATGTAACGCCTCAAATTTCAAACTGAATTTTTTATTTTTAAATTACCTAAAATATTGTTCATAAACCAAGTCATCGGAAAAAACATAAGTGTCAAATAGAAAACATCATCATAAAATATTAGAGTGCCACAAGATGACCAATAACAAATCTCGCAACGAGTGTGTATAATTAGACATTCATCTTCCCGCGATCCTCAAAAATACCTGGAACACATATAATAAACAACTCTACATACAAAGCTTAGTGAGTTTCTCGTGATAACACATACAACACAACATAAATAAACAACTATGAGTTATTAGCAACCCTGTAGACTATCAACAGTCCCAATAGGCTAACAGCACGCCATTTGGGTTATTAGCAACCCTGGAGACTACCCGCAGTCTCGGTCACACATAAACAACATAACACAGTAATAGCAGTTAAACCCAGTTGGTCATTACAATACAACTATTCTACCACATAGGTAAGAATAAGTGAGGACACACACCTGATACTAAATGACAGATAAATCTCACACCCGAACTGTCGGAACTAGACTCTACTTAATAACACAATAATTAACCTTAATTAATAAATAAGGTCGATAACTTAACTCTCAAGTCCAAATTCCACAATAATGCCCCTTATGGGAAAAAAGACCGTTTTGCCCCTTCCATGGTCCAAAACCCTAAATCTTGACCAAAAGTCAAAAGATCAATAAAAGTCAACTACCCAGCATGTACGTTGGGTAGACACTCCTCCTACGCGTGGCGTAGCCGAGGGATCTACTGAGTTGGGGTCAGGCCTTGCTATGTTAGGCGTATCCAGAAGTACGTAGGGGGCCAGATCCCAAAAACCGCTCCAAAATGTCTTAATCATGATGACATGTAATCCAAATATAGATATGACATCCATAGAATGTCTTAATCCATAAAGTCCATAATTTTAAGCCTTTGCATGGATGAAAAGAGCTTAAACCTTAAAACCCTAACTTAATCCATACTCAACACAACCAAACTCTTGCATGGCTGGAAAAGTATTATCAAACAATCATTTTTATGACTCTACAAGACCTAAAACGCATGAAAGGACAACTAATATGCTCTGGAGTACTCCATACTCACAAAAGTCCAAGCTTTGGGATAAAAAGCTCATAAAAACTCATCTATTGGGATCTAGAAAGAAACACATCAATGTATAAACTTTATACCTTCAAAAAATGCACAAAGTGAGGTAGTTTCTGGATCCACAAGCTGGCAAGAAACACCACCTTCTTCACTAGTCTTCTTCTTCTTCAACAAAAGAGCATCAAAAATCACTAACAAGCTTCAATTCTTCACACACAATTCTTAGGTTCGAGATTAGGGTT